TGCATTTACAGGGGGCAGGAAAAGCTAAGGCTACTTTGCCCAGAATTCTCACAAAACAGCAAGAGTGGGTTCACAGTGCCCTCAAAGTATCTGGCCTTCAGTGTCCAGAAACTGAGGAAGATTAGCCACAGGCATCTAGAGGGTACCAGGACCACAAAACAGGAGGCTATAGAAGCAGGCCTCGCAGGCCAGTAGCTAAGTGGGCAAGAAGCTGGGTCAGGAGAGTGAATCAGGAGGGTAACTCAGGCCACTGGCTACTTCTCTGAGCTTCTACAAAATGAGATCTGTGAATTTCACAATCTGTGTTTTTATTTTTGGTGCCATGTGGAATGCATCAAGTGGCAAAGAGTGCAGGAGGCAGGCTGACCTGGCTGTCATCTCCACTCCTTGTGAGTGTGGGCTAACCATCAACGTCTGCCGATCTCAGGTCTCCCCCGACGCCTGGAAGCAGAGAATTGTGACCAATAAGTAGTCAGGAGAAGCCCAGGGTAGATCCAGCATTTCTAATTACCTTTATTTCCCCTAACTCAGAGCATCTGGAATAGATTGAATGCTAGCATGTCCCCCAGCAGCCCACAGCTCACACTCCTCCACATGCCATACGTGCTGCTTGGGATAGAAATGTTCTTTCTCCTGGAACACTTCACATGACCTCCTGCTTAAGGCTATAGAGCAGACACTCAATGTAGTGCATCCCCAGGGACATCAGAAGAGGCTTTCACAGACCAAAATCAAGGATGTCAAAGGGAAGGTGTGTACACAGCACATATGCAGGAGAAGCAGACTGTGACCTCTCTCAGCACCTTGCTTTTATCATAGCTCCCATGTCAAACAAAGATCTTCTAGGCCTTTATGTGAAAAGGTTCAGAAAACAGACCCCTCTGAGTGAAAAGAACTTGGGGAACTGCCAGGAAGCGGGCATCACTGAGAACCTGGAAACCCATGTGCTTGGTTGTCATTTCTGGCCTCCCTTCCAGGACATTCCACACCTGTCCTCACCTTGCTGATTTTCCTGTCGCTGAACTGCACTCCAGACCTCCCCAGCACCCACTATGTAGACCGCAGTCTTCAAAGCATGCTTCCAGAACTCCGTGGCACTTGGGCTTTCATTCAGTCGCTGTCTTAGGTAGGGTTACTATTGCTATGATTAAACACTGTGACCAAAGCAACTTGAGGGAGGAAAAGGTTTATATTTGGCTTAAAGATCCTGGGTCACAGTCCACTGTGGGAAGGCAAGGCAGAAACTTAAACTGGGTTGGAGACTGGAGGCTGGAGCTGATGCTGAAGCCTTAGAAGGGTGCTGCTAACTGGCTTGCTCCTCATGGCTTGCTCAGATTGTTTTCTTGTTGAACTCAGGACTACCAGCCCAGGATGGTACCATCCACAATAGGTTGGGCCCTCCCCCATCAATCACTAATTAAGAAAATGCCCTACAGGTCAACCTATGGGGTCATGACCCCTTTGCCAAACCTCTATCTCCAAAAATATTTATGTTATCATTCATAAAAGGAGAAAAATACAGTTATTAAGTAGCAATGAAAATAATTTCATGGTTGCAGGTCACCACAACATGAGGAGCTGTATTAAAGGGTCTCAGTGTTAGGTTTGTTGAGGACCACTGGCCCACAGCCTGATCGTATGGAGGTGTTTTCTTAGATTGGCTCCCTCTGTCCTGACTCCAGCTTCTCCCAAGCTGACATCAACACCAGCCTGTACTGGCACCATCAGATTGTGTCCACCTTTCAGAGCTCTCTGCACCTTGGCAGAGTTCTAAACAGAAAGGAATAAATCCTGGGTGACATACTTTGTGGCCAACTGGACACCTTGAGGACTGAGACCACTCTATTCCTTGGTTTGTTTGGGGAAGGGTACGGTTAAGGTGATACTGCCACTTTGTCCACCCTTCAGTCTCAGCGATCTGCTGGACCTTCAGTGTACTTTACACACGCTAGGAAAACATGCTGTAAATAAGGTTATGTCCACATAAGACCACACAAAAGTGATCTGGGTTGGTGCTTCTGTCAGGAGGTAGACATTCTCTGGACAAGTTGGTTGCCAGCAAGGGTCTGGATGAGCTACTCCTGACTTTGAGCTAATGATAAAGTTAGGAAGTTTCATAGTTCTAGAATGGTTTAGTTGGGTGCACACCCTGAGTACAGTAGGATGGTTAACATTTTGGGCCCCTACCTACTGAAGACCCAGGAATGCCCTCACTAACCACCCGGGATTGCCCCCCATTAAATGCTCAGGAGAGCCCCTCACTAGATACCCAGGAGTACTTTCCAATAAACAACCAGGAATGCTCCCCACTAAACACCCAGGAGTACACCCTCACTAAGTACATAGGAGAATCCCCTCATTAAATATCCAATAGTGCCCCCCACTAAAAACCCAGGAGTGTCCCACACTAAATACCCAGGAGTATCTCTCAAGAATGCTCCCCAACTTAACACACAGGAGGGTCCCCCACTAAATACTCAGGAATGCCACTCATTAAACACCAGGAACGCACACTATTAAACACCAGGAGTGCCCTCACTAAATATAGGAAGTGTCCTTTTAAGGTTATGATGTCTATAAATGTCTCTAACAGTTGCCGAAATACTCCATTTGAGAATCACTCAGTTAAAGGCTACAAAATTGGGGGGTGAGGTGGGGAGATAGCTTAGCAGTTAAGAGCATTCACTACTCTCAAAGAGGTTCAGATCCCAGCACTCACATGATGATGGCACTCAATAATCCTAATTCCAGTTCCAGGAAATCCAACGCCCTTTTCTGACCTCCACAGGCACTGCATGCAGGTGCTACAATGACATACAAGTAGGCAAAACACTCATGCACATAAAATAAAGCTAAAAAAATTTTTTAAGCAAAACTACAAACTAAGTTGTGCATGGTGGCAAATTACCTCTTATCCTAGCACTCAGAAGGCAGGAGGCTGAGGCAGAAAAATCTCGAGTTTGAAACCAGCCTGGGCTACATAGGGAGACCCAACCAAAAATAAGGGGAGGAAGAAAAGGAAGAGGAGAACAAACAACAACAAAAGTTAAAGGCCACTTGATATGACAGTTGTTTTTACAGGGTGGCAATATATTATACAATTCAAAATTATTCCCCACTCACCTCTGTCTTATTATTATTGCTTCAAAGAAAAAATAATTCTGCAACTAAAGCAGCATTCAAAAACAAAAGCATCAGGTAAAGTTCCAAACAGAATCTAGACTGGAAGATATTTCTGTCCCTAGTCATAAAACAAGCTCTTCAAACTACTTGTGCTTCAGGAAAAAATAAAACCACTCAAAACACATATCAGCTTGTCCTAGCAGCTGAGCCAACAGCAGATGAATCTCAGAGACAAAGACACATCTTTTAACATCTACTCTGCAGTGGAATAGAGAAATGGTGCTAGCTCACATAACAGCTTTCAGGCATCTTTTTGATTGATAAAGTTTTCTAAATGATAGCAGGCCCGAAACAAATAATAGACACATAATCTTGTAGTACCCTGGATTCAAGAAGCAAGAAGGAGTGACAAGATGTTTTGCTGTGAGGACACAGCAGTGATACCAGTAATAACAACAGAAAAGATCGTGCCACCTTTTAAAGGGAGAGGAAAGCATCCAGATAAGGTTTCACCTTTTAAAATGTAAGCAATGGGATAGGTATTTTTAAACATCATACAGTGTGTTGAAAATCACTCTATCTCATTAATGTGTAAAGCTTTTATGTCAGTTAAATGTCCTATTACCCTTTAAATACACTCAGCAAATATCAAAACATATGTCACATTCACAGGGCAGCTTCTTTTCGTGGGGCTTCTGGTCTTTTTCCTCCTTGCATAATAACTAGAATTCCCTGTGTATCTTAAAGACAGAGCTACTGGATGGAAGACCTCAGGACCTTGGAACACCCCTCAGGCAAAAAAAAAAAAAGCCAGACCCCCATCTGAACCCCTAAAAATGAATGCTTTAACCAGGCTCACTCAAGTCATCTCTCACCTTCAAAACTTAGAGACCTAAAGTAGCCTACTTGGGCTTTTTGTAGCCAGTGGCTCTTCAAGTGTGGTTCCCAGACAAGTATTAAGAATAGAAACTCATTTCTGAGTTCGAGGCCACCCTGGTCTACAGAGTGAGTTCCAGGACAGCCCAGGCTATAAGAGAAACCCTGTCTCAAAAAAAAGCAAAACAAAACAAACAACAAAAAAAGAATAGAAACTCAGAAATGTGGTGTTTCAACTCTGACTCAGGAGGCCGGGTCCAATCTGCGACAGCAAGCGCTGTATGTGATGTCTAGGAGCCCTTAAAGTTGAGCCTACTGATTTAGGACAGTATTGTTTCCTGACCTATATCCATGTGGGTATATTTTTATTACAAAAATTCAAACTGTAATTTTTATTTCACCCTCAACCCACTGCAAAGTAGGTATCCCTACTTCAGTGCAGTCAAGGGATCTGTGCTTCACGCGGAAACAAGGTCTACCGTGCTTTACTAAGGAAGTCACAGGTTGGTTTGCTAGTCTCTTGTCTATTTGGGCTCCCTTAGCTTTCCTCTTTGGAATAACTTGGAGACCCTGGGTGGGTGGAGATGCGATAGCTGTGAGAGGAAGGGCCGCATCTCTCTGGTCACCAAGTCAAAACTGAAGGGCAGAGTTTCCAGCTGAAAGAACATTTCGTCCTGCCCACGTTTCCTTGGGTGACTGCAGGATCCCAAGGAGCTCCAGAGCCCTGGTTGAGACACGCCTACCCCCAATCCCCAGGAGCCGCGGACCCCTCAAGTATCCTGGCATCCAGGCTGCAGCAGGTGGCCTCTGAGGGACCAGAGACTAAGGAGTCAGCCCACATGGAGTTGCAGGAGGAGGTGCAGGGTGGGGACCCTATTCCTGAGGGTGAGTCTACGGTGCCTAGGGGCTGAGGGGAGACGCGTCTCGGTGTCCCAAGGTCTCTGAGAGCGAGGGAGCAGTGTGATCTAGATCATGTGCCCGAGTGGGAGGTGGCGACTCACCGTGTGGGTCGCTCTTCTCGCGGACGCCGTCCACGCGGCCGTCGGGATGGATGCGCAGGAAGAAGCCACCGTTCTTGCAGTAGAGCCGCTTGGGGTCCTTGAAGTGGCCCGGTGGGAAGGCGGCGCCGCTGTCCTCCGGCAGTGCGGGAAGCGAGGTGATGCCGCCGGCAGCCATGGCTCCTCCGCGGCCCCGGGACCCCGTTGCAGCAGCTCTCGGGGCTCCCCGGCCCCGACCCCGGCCTCGGCCCCCCAGCGCGGCTCGTCCGCGGGCTGCCAGCCTTCCGGTCAGTGTCCCGCCGGGCTCCCAGCCCAGTGCAGCCGGACTCTGCCTGAAGCCGAGAAAGCCCCTGTGTGTAGAGCGGCCCGGGGCCGCGTCACCCCGCGTCCCCGCCTGCACCCCGGCCCCGCGCGCCCCCGCCCCGCGCGCCGCCTCCTCTCCACGCCCGGCGCCTCCAAGTTGCAAAGAATCTGTCCCACTCGGCGGAGCTTTCTCCAGGAGACTGCCGTGGCGCAACTCCTAAAGTTTAAATGCAACTTTCTAACTTTCTCCGCTCCTGCCTTTTAACGCAGCGACGAGCCTTCCACCCAAAGCAGCAAAGGATCTGAACTGGGGAGGGATTGAGTCGGGCTTTGGAAATCTCCAGTCCGGTAGAGCACAAGCTGTGAAGGATAGGGTGCGGGAGACAGAGGCCTGGAATGGGGTGCCTGGGTTTCCTTTCTGGGCACCCAGCCCGAGACAGCGTGGGAAGATGAAAACCGCTTGAGTCCTCAACACGTAAAAGCCCAGAGCTGGCGCTTGCCCTGCCTCAGTTGTTAGATGTTTCTTGGAAAGAACTGAGTCTAATAAAATTGCAGTTAATTGTGGTTGGTGATCTTCAGTAGACCCTAATAAGGCTCAACGTTCAGCTTCTCTGCACCTCTGTCCCGAAACTAGGTAGCTACTGACCCCTACTTGTGGGGACACACCTCTTCTGTGAGGGTGTTTACCAAAATACCATTTGGAAAACCTGCACACCGTGCTCAGAGCCTCTGCCTTGTGAGGCTGCGAGACACCCTGACAAAGGGTGAAGGCCAGGAGGGTGAAGCAGAGAACTGCGCTGAAGAGTCACACAACACACGCAGTACCGCACTGTGGGGAAACGCAGATTTAGGGAAGCTTCTAGAAGTGCCACTATGTATTAGCTGTAGAAAGTCATCCTGAAGGTGATCCTTTTCATCTTCATGGAGGAGGTCTTCACTCAAATGTGTGATGGGCGTTAGCAAAGTCTCCAAAGCTGGAAGACCAAGCCTTTTCTCCAGGCCGTTGGGTATCCAGCAGGAGTGTGTGTTGTGTGCATATTCATTTTCCCTTTGCCTCCTGCTAGGTTCACGGCTGAAGCATTTATAACCTGAGACAACTTAACATGAAAAGATACTAACTTATTTAATGTAAACCTGGAGTCTCGGAAAGGAAATAAAGACTTAAAAGCTACACACAGACCCGTGTGTTTCCGGTCAGGCTGGGAGAATTGTGTATAATGGTAGAGAATGGTGATTGAAGCGGGTGCCAGCTAAGGGGCAGAACTGATGTGGGGACTTAGCAAGTTTTGGTTGTTCTGATTCTGTGTCTGTCAACAGGAACTCCCTGACCTGGTTGACACCTCTCAAATGTGGGTTTTATGACCTCAGTAAAATACTCCCTCCTCCCTCCTCCCTCCTCCCTCCTCCCTCCTCCCTCCTCCCTCCTCCCTCCTCCCTCTCCCTCTCCCTCTCCCTCTCCCTCTCCCTTTTCCTCTCCCTCTCCCTCTCCCTCTCCTTCTCCCTCCCCCCCTCCCTC